AATCTTATCATTTACAGACTAAATTATTAATCAGGAAACATTAACAATTCAGTGACCACCAAGAAAGTTTTATTAGTCTACATGCCCCCTGAAGACTCTCGGGGTGAATGCAAGTTTAACGTAGAAGCCAGTTTTGAAATATTAAGAAACCACGGCCGAGTGATATGTGCATCTATTTGATATGGACATACGAGAAATAGAGGATTAACTTGGCGAAGTTCTTAAATTTCAGACGTTCAACATCTTCCGTGTACTTTTCATTCGTATCACGTGCCATCGTGGACTCTCGCTGGGAAGATAAAACGTTTGACAAACGAGATTCCCAGGCCGAACCAGTATTAACTAAAGAACGTGAGTACTGGAGACGAGTTACCTTCGGTTAGTTCCATTTACTTGGAATATGTTCGAATATTTTATGGTACTGAATTGCCGCTAAATCGACGGTGTAACGCAAAGAACGGCGAATCAACGTTGAAAAATGTATAACAGGAAGATAAGAAAAGTTTCGCTTCCGCCTATGATCAAGGTTCCAACGTTACACGTGTTGACAATCAAGATATCGACGTCTGATTAATCGAATGCTGAAATGTCTCGTCATGCCAGCAGCGGCCGATCGAGACAAGGGCGGTGTATCTGCCAAGACATCTGTGATGTACAATTAATCGATATTCCGGCTAATTGATTCTTGACACGATTAATAATTGCAACGGTCCGTCGCCCGACTGATGACCAAGTACAATTTGCAAAACGTGTGCGCCTATTAATCGAAGGAAGGGTGACGCGGTTGGCTCGCGTATGCATCGCGCGAGACTAGACGTGTGCACATTGTTTCGTGCGAAAGATACGAGCCAGTTTTGTCTTTACGAAACTTGAATTCTAAGTAACGAAAAGAATATGTAACTTCTGAATATTTACCATATAGGTTGTAGAATTACTGTGGAACTACTAATTAATATAAGAAGTAAGTATTTAATTAGTGCTAGAATAACGAAAGGAAAAATAATGCGTTACCGGTTAACAAGAATTTTTACTAATTTAGAAAATTATTTACGATACATTTGTGTTCTCAATTTAAAATTTTGGTTTTTTGTTACCAAGCAGAAGGATATTTTAGGATAAAAATGTTTTACATTCAATGAAGGATACTACAAACGTATATTCAAAATCAACAAATTGGTTTCTCTAAAGAGCACGTTGCATTCTTCTCGCATTTTCGTTTCAATAAGGAACCCAAACATCAGAACCTTTTCTCATTACCTTCTACCACCCGATTGCTCTCGAAGAAACGAATTGCACGCCCGTAACGCGAACCAGTCCGTGGCGGGGTCCAGGTTAGCAGGAACGTAATAACGAAAGCAGCGAAAAAAGCCGAGAACGTAACGCAGTTTAAACAGTTCCACGGAGCCGAGTTAATTATCTTTTCCCTTCTCCGGAAACGTTGTTTACCGCTTTACGCTCTTCTCTTGTTGTTCACGCGTATGTGCCAGCGCTCGAGAAAACTTATCTGAAGCAACTTGTCGGACGCTTCTAATTTCACGTTCAATTCTTTTTATCTCTTAAAGACTTCTATAATTCATAGATCTTGTTCGCGAACATATCCGACGTTAAGCGGTTGGTTTGAATATTTTTCATGTTCATGATTGTCATGATTTAACAAGAACTCAAATCTCAATAAGGACTTTAACGCTTAGGTCAAATGCAGACAAACGATTTCTGTCAACGTTGCGATTTGCTGTTTTATATTAATTTCATTCACATTGGTTTTTATTATTATCGATCGTCATCGTCATAAAATTGCAATAACACGACGCAACAAGAGAAAGTCACAACGCCAGCAACATGTCGTTCGTTTGCACCAAGCCAAGAACATAGAAGGCATCGGTCTTCAAAGCAGAAGCGAATTCTCCTTTTATTCTTCCCCGGTGTGCGCGTTATATCTAAGCATATTCTCGATCGCCGGCGTAGAAGGGGCGAAAGAGTGAGTAACGGAGAAATAAGGGACGTTAACAGCGAGAAAAGAATGTTGGAAGATATCCCTCGAGCAGCGGGGTGGCAGGAAAGGCAGCCTTTGTGCAGGTGACGTCCTCATAACCACAGATTCCCGAGGCTTTATCGGCCCTTTCTTTTTCTAACGGCGCATTACTCCTATCAAACGGAAGTGGCCATAATTGCGTGGCACAATTAAGGTCAGCCCGACAGTCCTCCCGGCCGCGGGGCGAGCGCGCCGCTGGCGTCCTCTTTACTTTTCCTTCCCTTCCGGCCCGGTTCCCGCATTCCGTCGTTCCTCGGTTAGCGTGTCCAATCACCACCTGGATTAAGTTAATTGCATCGGCGCCTTTTCAATGGGCTCGTTCGCCGCGGCTGCTTTCGATGAAGTCCGCCCCGCCCTCCCGCCGCCGACCTCCGCCCATTGGAAAAAGGTAGGAAAGTTAAAGAAAGGAATCTTCTTCCTATAAAGAGACACTTGGCCTGGCCGTGGAATGGGTCCGGAGCTCGAATAGACGCGGCGACCTGTAATTGGACGATTGGATCCGGAAAGGGGCACGCTCGACTGACCTATAGAATAACCTGGCAAAGGGGTTAATGGAACCGAGACGACGAAACGTATTGAACGGGCTCGGGATTGCCTGGCCCTCAAACAGGGGATAGGATAGATTGAAAGGTGAACAGCGGAGGAACGTCGTTAATAAACAAAATCCTTCGGGTAACAATGCGATCACCGTCGCGATCGCTCAGCCGACACCGCTTAGACCGTGATCGTATCAATCATTCACGTCTGACAGACGATAGGATCGGGGATCCTTTAATCGCGTGTCGTCCCCGTACCTCGGCTTGATGCACGAGTCGTGACGCCAAGCACGATCGGAACGTATAAGTAGATAGGGAAGCGAATGGGCGGACAGAACGATAAGTGGAAGAGGTGGGATGGTGCGAAGGAAGCGACCAGCAGGAGGGCTTCAACGAGTCCCTCTTGTAGATGCTGGCTGTCTGGCGCAGCGCGACGCCTTTTCATAACTGCCCGGACACAGAGACGTCTATTCTCGAATGCATGCCAGATAACGAGTAAATAACGGGATGAAGCCGGCTGGACGACGCTCCTCGCCCTCGTCACATTACGAACCGCTAAGATACTGCCGGCTTCTATCTCGTAATGACCGTATCCCTTGCCTCAGACGACATCGGGGTCAACCGTGCCTCGACCGAGCGAGAATCGCCGAGCATTGCTGCTACCGCCCACCTTATGCCGATGGAGATATGCTAACGAGACATCGGCGGCGTTTTCCGGGGCACCATGATGACGAGAATTGTGGGGAACCCTCTTGGGAACGGTGTTTCGGAGAACCAATTCTATATGTTTTTCTTATTATACGATGTTCGCTGATTTTCCAATTGTTTTCAGAAATTAAGTTGTTTGTTTGTACTCGATTGTATAGTGCATGGAGCTCTCGATAGATGCGTTATAGCTGTACGAAATTTGAGAACTTAATGATTTAATGTTGGGTTATTTCATAAATAATGCGGTTTTTTATATTTCTTTTATTTTTAAAAATAAAGATACACAAAATTTTTTTAAAAGTCATGATGATACGTAATTTATAGATAATGAAGGCGAATATGTTTTAGATTGAAAACAATTTTGTTTACCTTTATTTTTAAGTATTAAAGAAGTATGAAAGACCGCATATTGATGACCAATATTTTAATGCGTTCTTTTATGTTGATATTTTAGGAAAATTGTAACACCTTCAACTAAACACTATTATAAAAACCACAATTATGAATCGAGTCTATCTTTCTATAATCTGTGCCGCCTTGCAGTATTCTTGTTGCACATTCACAGTGAAGATTCACATTCGGAGTAATAAAGTTTAAATACCTATATGATCAAACTATACTACTCCAACTAGTGCAGTATTCACAGCACGAACGAATTCCCGGAAATGACTCTGTTACCGCTGTACCTCCTCCAAGTCCGTACTTTATCGCTCACCAATTAAAGTATCTCCTCTAACGAAAGGGTCTACTATTTTATTGCAGACAGTGCCTGGAACTCGAAGGAGCGGCTTGGACGAAGGAGTAACAACTGGTTCAACAACAAAGACGACATCCGAAAGAAAACCGCGGGGAAATAGTTAAACCAAGATTGAAAACGCGGAAAATTCCCAACGAATCTCGACGCACTCGTTTTCGGTTCGATGAACAGAGAAAGGAAGCTTTTCTTAAATCTGGAACGACGTTCGATCGTTACAGCTCTTCGGCGAAATTAAAAGATCTCGGGAGGAGGGAACGAAATAATTAAATTTGACCTAGAAGAGACGCTTCCGCGGGAGTGGACGATGACTTATCGCTGGATCACGTGCACCGCGACGTATCGAGTAAAAAGAAAGAAGGGACCTGAAGTGGGGCTAATTTAAAAGTTACTTCGGCCCGCGGAATCCAATAATAACACGGGCGATTTAACACCAAACGTTGAAACGAATGAAACAGATGCTCGTTCACGGGTCATTAACTCTTTCTGTGTCTGCTGCGGCTGCACGAAATTATCGCGCGCGGCGGAGTTGCTTCTTGCGGGGTTAATTGCTTATGAACGATCCATCCGATTCGCGGGCGTATCGCGCGCGAAGAATCTGTTCTTGTCGAAGCCACGGAACCTGCTTCGAGAATGGTGGGACGCGAGTAGTTGAATAGTTAACGAATAATTTAATTATTTCGGAAGATCGCTGAGTATATTTGTGAAAATTTTTGATAATAAATAATATTTATCCGTGAAGAGTGGAACGCGAGCAATTAAACAGTTGACAAACAATTATATTATTTCGGAATATCGCTGAATATACTCGTGAAAATTTTTGTTTCGGTCTTGACAGATTATCGACGATAATAAATAATGTTTATCCGGGAGGAGTGGGATGCGAGCAGTTGAACAGTTGACAAACAATTATATTCTTTCGGAATATCATGAAATATGGTTGTGAAAATTTTTGTTTCGACCGTTGCAGATTATCGACAATAATAAACAATATTTACCCAAAAGGATTGAGACGCAAGAAATTAAATAGTTGAGTATCATCGTGAAAATGTTTGTTTCGATCGTGACGTGTTTAATGGTTGACAAGTGATTGTATTATTTCGGAATATTCTTGAATATAGTCGTGAAAATTTATGATTTGATCCTGACAGGTTATCGACCATAATAAGTAGTATTTATCTTTGCGGGTAAGGAGTACAGAAAAGTTAAAAGATACGTTGTAACGGCAAGAATAAGGGAACGAGGCGACCAGGTAGAGAGAGACGCCGTTGAAAATGATATTAAGGCATCGGACTGATTGAAACGAGGGAAATGGCGACCGCCGGGGTCGGTAGTGAAATGAGTGCGACGCGTTTTAGTGTGTGGTCCTGCGTTGTTCTGTTTGGGGCTGCGACATTCGTCCACTCGCAAGTCACATGGACACCGATCTACTTAGGCGAGCACAGTGAGTATCCTTTCCCGTTTTGAGCATGTACAATAGGGTACTTTAACAAAAGAACCCAAGCATCTTTATTATTTATGGTCATATAAAAATCTTTTTAGTATGCTATGTCAAGCTCTTAAATGAAAATAACGAGTAGCAGGCACAGACATAGATAAACAGTATTTTTTATATGTTTTCAGGCTACTTTAGAGAAACGTGAATAAAATGGAAGCATACATTATGTGGAACTTCCATTTTGTTTCATTCAGTGTACGCTGGATTTATTTAGCACTACCCGAAACTACCCGAAAAAGCTATACAGCAGTAAATATCAAAAATACGATCACGAGATTCAGACCAAACCGTTGTTGAAACGAGATACGTAGAACAGATTGGAAATGTAATGAAAACTGTTTAAAGCGGAATATGCATTTTCGATTCAATCACGAAATACTATTACGAAAGAATACACGGATATTAAATGGATTAAATGAGAAGTTTGTCCGCATTATACTTAAACGCGAGCAAGATATTTCAGCCGGTTAAATATATTTTTTACCAGAATTCGGGGATCTTAAAAAATTCACGAATTTCTATGGAACATGAGCCGTACGTGTACTTGTAACTTGCATCAACCACGTACGTTTTCAGGACACTAGAGAAAGTTCTTCGCCTGCTAGCAATTTTTTTTCGGTTGATTAATCTCGAAACAACGTGCAATATTTTTAACATTAATCCCAAACTAATGTGTAGCAGTATATGATAGTAAAAGGTATCTAAGAAAATAGTTTTATTTACTTGGTTCCCTCAAAGGTTATGTTCATTAAATAATATATCACAGCAAAGAAAAGAAAAAATGAAAACGAATACTTTTCTCTTCCAAATCAGTAAAAGCAGAGCTGTATAAAACCATTAGCAAATCATTCTAAAAGCGAACATACATCTATAATTAAAGAGTGAATAAAACTGGTTGGTTACAAGTGAAGAAAAAATAAATGAATGTATCCGTTACATTAATCAAAACACGCAACAAATTTCAAGAAAAAACATCTCTCGTCCCATTTCCATTGAATCAGTATTAAAAATTCCCTGAAAACCAAATAACCTTTTCATCAAAATCCGCCCCACCTCGTTCTCTACCAGCATCTCCCATTTTATAATCCCCCACAAAAACACCGTTGCGAGGGAACTGCCAACGTTATTGCGACACGCCTAAGAGGAAATTTCGAAGCACGCGAATTTTTTTAATCCGCCGTTAATTAATTAAAAACATTTACCGCAACCTCCTCGGGCCAAGGTCGATACTGACACCGAGGGAGCGTATTTCTCGCGAGCCACCCTCTTCCTCTGACACGCGGGACGGAGATGCGTTCCTCTCGCGAATTATTAGAACGACTCTCCATTTCTCTCGGGTACTCTTGTTACCCACCGTTAATTAGAGTACAGTCTGCTACTGACGACAACCAACTGCAAAGGAGAGTCTTCACCGGCACACCCCCACCCTGAGCGCCACCACTTCGTCGCCTACCCTGACTCCACTCTCCTCTCCACCCCGCCGCTCAACCCGTGACCCCAACGTCGCTGATCCGCAATACGACGCGATGTTTGTGGGTTGAATTATTCCGGGGATCTCTGCGCGACCCGCGAGTACCCTTCAAAGCAGCCGGTAAAGGTATACGAATGGCGGAACAGTTTGCGCTCCCATTGGTCATCTGTGAAGCGTCATTGAGGATTGTTGCCAGATTTCAAGAAAATGTTGAAAAGCTTTGGAGATCACCTGGGACAATAGTGTTTGAAAAGGGTAATTAGAGGAATATTTTTTGTCGCAATGTTTGATGTTCAACGTAAATTTAACGTAAAAGCAAGAGTAGAGTCTCTTTCTGTTACAGTAAATTATTCGAGATAAAATAATTTTGTTGAGTATGATCTGTCAGAGGTAATCTCATCGGTGAAATTGATTAGTGTTGATATTTGCAAAGAAATTATAGCGTGAGAAGACTCTATCCCATTTAAAGACAACGAATTAGTCTATTATCGAATCAACGATTATTACGGAACAGTAATTCAGTTAGAAATTTAATGTTAATAAGTTTACAACTTCATGAAAATGTGTCCGAAGTATCTCAGACTTACTTACAGTTACAAGAATCACTTTACAACCACCGAAACTGATGCGTTCAACGAATGTCTTTGAAAAAAATGACGTCGAAAAAGAAGTTGAAAATTCCTCGGAGAACTTCTAAGAGACAACTGTACACGTGATCAGACGACAGGTCACGGTCACAGCCTTGAAAGTTCGAAGCCCGATGCTCGTTCCCGCGGTCGCGTCGCCGAACTCGTAGTTGTCGCTGGCAATCTTAGACGTATTCGCTGGAAACCGAGTTACTCGAGTATCAAACGGGTTGGGACCTGATCGAGGAGAAAGTACCTACATAGCTACACCTTCCGAGGTGGCAGGGCCGTGATTACCTTTCGGCCGGATCGACGCGAATCGAATCGCAGCCGATGCCCGACGCGTTTAAATGGCGGGGTGCTCCGGGGTCCCCCGGGTGTGATAATTCGATCTCGACCCGTGATACATTGTTATCGACCGGAAACTGCCTCAGCTTTATAAGCTGTAATGGAAAAGAATCGCAACCTTCGTCTTCCTTCGCTAATAAATGCGTTGATTTAGTACGGGCCGCGTTCCCAGGGCGTAGCGGACATTCTTCCACGTCAGCGGAGGTAATCAGGCCGGCTCGGGTTCCCGCATTGATCTCTCGACGGTCTAATTTCGCCGTCGCCGACCGCCACTGTAAAATTAGAACAGCGCGGCCCGCGGAACGGGCCGAGGACACAATTATCCAATTACGATAGAAGTGGCCGATAATCGACACCAGCACGCATTATAAACGTCAGGATAATAAATCAGCGAAACAATTGCCGGGTTCCGTGGTTTATTCGACCGGACCATTAAGCGCCGCCGAGTTGACACAATTAACAGACCTAAACGCGGTAACGTTCGATTTATCAGCGGTCGTAATGTTCATATAATAAAGCGATCGGCCACCCTGTCCGCTGCCGTGGAAGTTTATACGGAAGTACGTCTAGTTACCGATAAACACCGCGAAAGCCTCGAGCGTTCGACGGACGTAGCGCGGGGACAGATTTATGGGTGGAGGGTGGGCGAGGTGTGAGCCTCGCGAGTCGGAATCGAATTTCTGTCGGCGGCGCGCATGAAAAACGCGGACAGGAATTTCATTAGCGACGCGGGCGGCCGGTAATCGTCCCGGAGGATGACGAAGATCGTTCGTTGAAGACGCGAGGCAAGGAATAAAGGCGCGGATCGTTCGATCTTGGATCAACTGCTGATTAAAACGTGCTGACGCAGCTGCCCGATTTGTCAACGACACGTGTCGCCGTGACTATTTGCTCGCTCGTTTGGCTCGTTCGTCTCGCTCCGCGGAACTTCGATAGTTATTAGCGAAGCGGCCCGTTACGGGTCGAACGGGAATTCCGAGATTCATCGACGCCGTTGCAAATCATCCCCCGACCCTTTCCTCCGCGCGCTAACTCTTCACGCTGGCCCTGTCACGTATCAGCCACTCGGTTGACCGTCGCAGTACAAACCCGACGCAGCATTAATTGTACTCGTTTGCGAACTTTCGGGGCGCGACACGGCCACGTTAATTGACGCGATCAATCCCGTCGGTACGGCGACGTTCCTAACTGTCGCGTATCTACAATACTACTGATTGGCGAAGTTTCACGGGACTCAGACTTCGGTGCAAAAATACGGTGAATGTTGTAGTAATGATACGCGTTTCTCGTTTTTCGCAAGGAATTAGTTTTTGGGTGAAAGAGAGGGTTTGTGGATGTGTGTTGGAAATGTTGAGTGTACAAACATTGGTATACGGTGTTCCATTAACTATGCTGCAAATAATGATTCTCTTAAGGTAGTACTTTGCAAGAATTCTGTAATGAAGTCAAAAATTAATAAAGGTGTATATTCGATTGTAACGGAAAGCAGAGGGTACCCTGTACACTAAAAATTATCTTGTAATATATATCATTGTTCTAATGAACCGAGTAAAGTCAGAAACATGTAATATTCAGGACGTTTTGGATGTTGGTAATTTGTTATTAATTATTGGGCTTTATTATGGTAAATGAAAATTAATTAAAATATTAATAGTCATATGTAAACATGCATATTTTTTAGTAATAAGATATCCTATGGATTGAGTAGTAACAGTTCTAATTCTTGTTGGAATGTCCGATCATACACATGCATAGACTACTGACAGAACTGTCGAATGCCACATCTCATGATTCCATCATTGTAAACGTTATGAACGTTGTAAATTTTCTGTAAACGTTGATAGTGATTCTAAACATGAGTATAAACAGAAAATTAAAGATAATTAATCACATTATATTTTCATTACTTGAAATTTACCGTATTCGTAATGTTGAAAGTAAACTCCTCATTTTAGAATTCTTAAAATAGACATGAAGGATTCTCAAAGAAATGATTAAACAAATTTATTTATTCACGTCAAAAAGAAGCTCGTAAGCTTTGTAAGAAATTGTAATCCTCTTACTGCAAGTACTCGGCACTTTCTGCATTAACTCGCACACAAACGGAGTTCAATTAACTAAAGTCAAGTAAAGCCTGAACAAGTTACACAAAATGAAACTAATAAATATAAAATTTAATATTACGCATCACTTATTTTTTCAGACGCCGCAGCGTTTATTCATAGTTTTCCTTCTTAAATGTCCTTCTGAATTCCAGAAAAGCACAAACAGATCGTTATCATATTCCCATTTTCTTAATAATATGTCAAATGTATAAATAATTCGAGGACTGACCAATCTCTAAAACCTGAAAGCACTGACAACCATTCAAAAACGATTTTTCGATCGTTTCTCGACCGTTCAAACTTTGTTAGCCTCGAACGAAACGTGGATTTCGGAAATAAAATTCAGTCTGCAATCTCGCCCGTAGCGGTAACTTGACCAATGATACCTCCGATTTC